TTCTTCCCCTTTCGTAGTGACACTACCATCTTGTCTTTGAATTTCTCTAATAGAATCTTCGCCTCTCTGTTCACAACTGCTCGGTGAAAGCTTTTGTTGTTTTTGTCCCCAACATTTAACCAGTGGAGTTTCGACTTCTGTTTCAAATACTTTTCCTCAATCCCCGCAATGCTTTCCCAACGATTGTAAGCTTCTGTTTCCTCCGCCATAGCCTCTGGTGACGGGTTGGTGAGATTGCTCTCTTGCTTCTGACAAAGTATGTCATACGCCTCTTTAGATTTCTTTACCAAGTTCCCCATTTTCTCTTTTGCCAGGTTGCGAATTTTTGGCTTTAAAGCCTTTAGTTTCTTCATGAACCGGAATAATGATGAAGTGGACATAAAAATTGGCTCAGTTTCTTTCCAATAATCGTCAACCATCGGTTTGAACTCTTCTATTTCCGCAATCGCATTGACAAATTTGAAAGGCTTTTGACCCATTACCGTTTCTCCCACTGCTATATTCAGATTAATTCTACATCGTAAATGATCTGAGCATCCTCCAGCCTCAAAAACATTATACGAATGTGGAAAAATCTGATTCCAGTTATCATTCACCATGACGCGGTCAAGCTTCTTCAAGATCATGTCGTCTTCCCTCTTGTTACACCAAGTGTATAGCGGTCCGTGAGAAGCCATATCTGATAGCGTATAGTAGTTAACAGTCCCTTGAAAGTCCCGCATTCCAGAGGTAACCACTGGGTTGTCAGCCACTCTCGAATGCTCCCCAATATCTAAAGTTTCATTAAAATCTCCATAAACTATCCATGGTCTCTTGCGAATAATAGGGGAATCAAAATGATTTTGAAGATCACACCATAGCTCTTTGCGTTCTTCCACTGTATTTGATGCGTACACAAACGAACAAAAGAACTCCTCTTCGCAGTCCTCCAACTTGACAGAACACGTTATTAATTGACCGCTTTTATAAAACGGACTCAATCGGACTTTGCTTCTCCACACAACCCAGAGTCTACCGCGCCTGCTATATTCATAGTTAGTCAAAACAGACCAGTCCTTGAACAACTTGCTACACAACCTCTGCGCTTTGCCCTCTTTCACTCTAGTTTCTATAAAGCAGCCAAATTGAAAATTCTGTTCATCAACCCACTTCTTAATGACAGCATGTTTTGTTGATTTGTTTAGACCGCGAACATTCCAAAAGAAGCTCGACATTAATGATTTTTGGAGGAGGTTTTGTTACGCTGATCCCTAGGGATGACCCTATTGACCGGAGTAGAAGATATCGACACCGCTTTATGAGCAGTTTTTGATTCTCGGGGCAAAGACTGACGTAGAGGTGGCTTCTTTGTCCCGCAAGTGACCTCTGTTTGTTTCTGAATCTGCTCACGTGCTTTAAGGTCTGTCTGTGTTGTTTTGGAGACATCAGCCTCTTCAACAACAGTCTCCTCTTTTGAACTTTCCTCCCCTGAATTCTCTTTCTCACTGAGAACAGAGTAAGTGTTTGACAATATAGATACTTCTCCAAACTTAAGTTGTTTCTTACCCGGACTACGAGAGAAATTTGGAGGTGTGATCCAGCCTTGATCATCTCCATTCACCTCCTTATTAACTTCTTTCAGAGGCAGTGTCTCTGTTCCTACCTCATCCACATTTACGTTCCCACTCTTACTCTCAGCATCTATTGTTTCAATAACCCGAGAAGGAGAGGACTCTTGTTCTGTTTCCTTTTCAGGAGAGCTGTTTGAGTTTTGCATTTCTTTCCGATTTTTTGCCTCCTCTGCAAGACAAGTATCAACGACGTGACCCCATTTCTTGCAGCAGCTGCATCTAGGAGGCAACCAAGGGTAAGAGTATTTCACTACCGCGGCAAGCTCACCTTCCTCTTCACCCGAGAGAACATACTCCTTTGGTAGCTCTTTTGTTAGATCTGCTTCAACCAAAATTTGAGCTTCTTCAAAGCTTACACAAGCCTCAGTTTTTGGGTGCAATTTTTTTGGTTTCCCAACAGCACTAGCCAAAAACTCAAGCCCCTTGTCTGTGAACAGAGATAGAGGTACGTCTTTTAATGTGACCCAGAGTTGAATAGATTTCATAGCTGGCTGTGCTTCTTCGGCATACGGAGTCCACTTCGAGACAACCATAGGAATGTCCATAATGTTCCACATACCTCTGTTTTAAACCCTTCTCCTCATGGCCTCATTTCTGATACGGAACTTTATTGTCGTGTCATTTACTTCAAAGACATTGATCAACGTTGTTTTATCCCCCAATCTCCAAATCTTATTGACGATCATGTGGATCTTCCCTACATGTGGAGCTTTAGTACTCAGAAACTTTCCAATCACAAAATCCTCCCATAAAGGCTTTGCCCCGACAAAGACCTTTTTCGGGACAACAACTCTATCCTGTCCATCTACCTGTTCAACCACAAACTTTTGCTTTGTGAATACATGTTTCTGAGCTACTTGAACCCACGACTTTTTTGTTGATGGTACCGCAGTCACTGGAATCGCCGAAGAGACTCCCTGACTGAGCACATCCCTCTGTTCTGAATTGGTCTCACTTGAGACTCTGTCCAATACTTTCTCTGAAACCTTCCCCAAAATCTTCTCTGACTCCTCTGAACCTACTGAAACAACTTCCTGCAACTGCTGTAACCCAATCACAACCTCTTCCTGAGACACCAAAACCTTCGAACTAGAACCAGAGCTGTCTTCCGACGTCGGAATCACCTCCAGTTGGCCTGGGGAAGCCGCCGGTTGCGGCATGCGTGCTGGAACCGTAAGAAACCCTAATCACCCTTTTTTTCGCCTGCCACGTCAGCAGAGAAAAAAACCCCTTGAAAATTTCTTAAGAGTATTCCACCAACAAACCATCAACTTATAATGCATTTATATTTATATTGATGAATTAATTGAGTAAAAAAATTTCTTCCTTTAATATTCATGTGATGAACTGGAATCATTGTTTTTTTCCTAATAACGGAGATTTTTTCTGGATTATTATACCATTTGAAACGGTTCATTTGACGTTTTCCACATTTAAAACGACCAACACATATGAAAAATATAGTAGATAGCCATATTGCTTGAGGATGTCTTCTCATATTTGGACTTTGTAATAATGTTAACGCAGCATCGATATTTTGTTGTATACAACCCATATATATTGCCTTAAGGTAGAAAGCATCATTGTTACCATATATAATTATTAAGTCAAAAAATTCACTGTATAATCCCCCCAATTCTGAGAAAAAAATTGTTGGCATCTTCATTAAATTTTTATATTGAAAATTGATTAAAACTTTTCCATTTTCAAAATCATTCCAAAAATCTTTGGTTAAATGAAGAATTAGAAGTTTTTCTTCAATATTAAAAAAGTGTATGTTTAGAAATAATTTAGACAGTAAAGAATTTGATTCCATTTGACATATAATTTGTTTTGAATTCATCGTAGAACAAATAATCGTTGTAGCAGGACAAAAAATTGGAATTTCGAAAAGAAAGACAATATATAGAGTTGAAAAGACACGATTTTAGAACTATTCGATAAGTCCATTACGTAGACGAACGTGTCTGTTACAGCTTTAATGTGTGGGGCTCATTTCACTCACGTATGTCCAAATTATTTAAACCTCTATATTATTGTTTTCCCATGATATCACGTAAATGTTAAATGAATGATATAATTAAGGAGGTTATACTACAAAATATATCCATATGTAAACTATGAAATAAAACCAATTTTATATGTAGTTTATTGGTTTACGTAAAAAGAAATTCAATAAAACAACATGACCGTACAAAAATAACTGTAAGAAAAACAACCATAAATATTTAAACGAAAAGTTGCAATAAAAAGACGCAACCGTTCAGATGTGCAAATGGTATTTATTGGAAACGACATAACCGTAAAAAAATAACCGATTAAAACGAAAATTGCAACAAAAAGACGCAACCAAAATAACCGTAAAAAAATAACCGATTTAAACGAAATGTTGCGATGAAAAGACGCAACCGTTCAGATGTGCAAATGGTATTTATTAGATTGCTATTATATATAGATTACAACACGAATATGAATGTAGTAAAAAAAAACCAGAAAATTACCTACCTATAAGAATGTGTGAAAGTAGCTAAAAGTTAATAATAATAATTTAGTACAGTATTATGAAGAAAAACAAATCTCAATTTAAAATTCTGGTAAAAATTATTATGATTTGAGGTTTCGATGGAATGTAAATTGAAAAGTTTGAAATTTATTGATATGAATGACTAAAATTAATCAGAGGCAGAAAATATAAATTAGTGCGAGCATAATTACTATTCCATGTAAATTAAGGAAGTCAAAATTTACCCGGTTCAGATGCATCTCCAAAACTCTATATGCATCCGCCCATGCTTGTTACCCGAAATGGATACTCCAAATATCGTCATCCACAAGAGAAAAGACTACTCCACAAACACTCCAAATATTGTTCATTTATAAGAGAAAAGACTATCCCAAAAACTCTTAACAGTAGTTCTAGACACTGTAGATTGAGAAGTAAAAAAGGGAGGACCTTATGAAAACTTATCTTTCTACTGAGAACTTTGATAAAAAAAAAGCATCATCTACTTTTCCTCTTAAGAATATCCAAAAATGTTCAGCAAATCACCTTAACAAGCCACATCAGCAAATCTTCGTTGCAAGTTAGTTTCCCGCGTCCTTCTTACCTTCTAGACCTCTGCCATGCCACATCAACAGCTCCTTGTGCCAAGTCACCATGATTCGTCCATGTTACCTCCATGACTCATGATGTGTTCTTTGTTGCATCCTCTATTCCCATCAACTTAAGGTTAATGAATCACCAAATGATTGTTGATCGTGTTATACTGAACATTCACTACAAAAAATATCCACATTGATAGCACATGATGATAGCTCATTTTCTGTAACTGCTATGAAAGATAAGTTTTTTATTTGAATTATATATAATAGCACTGAAACAACGCTAAAATAGAAAATCACCAAATATAAAGCTAAAATCACTCGTTCCGCCAATACTTAGGCGAAATAATTCACTTAAGCGCCATATGTTTTAGATCCAAAAACTTAAAACGCGAAAGTCCAAAAATTAAAACCCTTCACTTTACCACAAAATAAAACATGTCTCAAAAAAAAAAAAAAATCCCAAGTCGAAGAAAGAGATTTGTTGGATCTGAGACATAGCCATAGCCTCCAGCGTGAAGCTCGTCGCCGGCCTCCAGCGTGAAGCTCGTCGCCGGCCTCCACCGTGAAGCTCGTCGCCGGCTTTCACAGTGAAGCTCGTCGTCACGACGGAACACAGTTAAGGTACTTCTATTTCAGATTTCTTAACTTATGAACCCTAAACTCGTCTTCACCGTCATATTCCCGATTCTCTCCTCGGATTTCTCAATCGTCGCCTCCGTAACTTGCACCGCCGGAGCTGAAACCGGAGAAGAAGAAGCATATCTTCACCGATTTTGAAAATTGCGTTTTCGGTTTTGGTTAGGAGTTTGGTGAGAGCTGGAGCAGATTCAAGCCATGGATCTGGTGGTTGGTAAGTGACGGCAATTACTGTGAATATGAGAACTGTGAAGACGAAGACTGAGAAAGAGTGAACACATGGTCGTAGTAATTGCGGGTTTTGGATTTCTTCTTTTGGATCCCTTTTGTTGATCTAATCATCTCATCATTGTTGATTTTGACTTTAGATACGTTTTTGTTCTTTAGGTAATGAAGCTCCAAACTTGAGGTACTACTACTACTTACTCTTACCTCTTCATCGATTCAACCACTGAAGATGGAGTCTTTTTTTTTTTTTTTGGGTTTGTTGCTTGAAAGGAATTACATAGTTTTTAGTAGCCACATATGTAAGTTGGTTTTGGATTTGTGTCTGCAAATAGTTTTGTTGGTTTTGGTTAATTTACAAGATGAAGCATACCTATCATGTGTTTTTAAGTTGGCTTATCTTTTCTTATCTCATTTGATAAGATCTAGCTAAATGTTTGATTTGAATCATTGCTTTGATTGCATTGTTTGCACCCACTTTGTTTTTTCTCTTGTAAAACTATGGAGGAATGTTTGGTGGAGTGTTAAGTCTTAATTTTATGTCTTTAGGGTGCTTGCGGACAAGGTTGCAGGTTCTGGATTTTTTGGTGTAGTTCCTGATTATACAAAAGATTTTGAGGTTCTGAATTCTTACCTCTTGATATATAGCAAAATTGTAAGCTTACTTTGTCTTAGTTTTTGGTATATGTGTAAAAAAGCTACTGCAAAGGCTATTGTTATTAACTGGATTTTGAATCAAATGCAGCTAACATGAAAAATCATATGTTGGTTTCATCGGAGATTGATATAGTATTGTTGTTGTTTTGCCTTTCTTATAGGGTGGATGAATCTTTTGACGCTAGAGAAATGGAGTATGTGCGTTTAGTATCCGCTGTTTGTTGGATATATGGTGAGATCCCATTTGTTTCAAAATTATTTTCTTTTGGTAAGTTGTGAAGCAGAGAGAGATGGAATCCTGGAGTCTCTAGAAGTGACGTAGTCAAGGTTCTCTCCTTCTTTGTTTCTTACTTTGCCTCAGTCAGGTTTGTCGAAGTATGAGTTTTCCATTTGATTTCTGTTTTTTTTGTAGTCTGGAGCTTTCAAGTTGTCAAAAGATGGTTTTCTATTGCTCCAATTTGCTCCTTTTGCTGGTGTACGACAATATAATTGGGGCAAGAAACAGGTTTCGTTTTATCTCTTAACTTCATATGGTCCATTAAGCTGTAACTTTGTTAAGACCATCTCACTGGATTTGGTGTTAAAAGACAGTCTTTTTTCTTGTCACTTATTCAGCCTAAGTAAGTAAATATAATCTTCTTCTTGATTCTTGTCAGAATGGTTTAAACATTGTCTCTAACAGTTTTGATCTCTGTATATATATTAGGTGTGATTGAATTACTTACTCGGATCATGTTATTTTTCATGTTGCACTTGATTCGCCTCCAAGCTTCTGTTTGTGCTCTCTTGTCCTATGCTACTGTTGTTGTTGCTGCAGCTTCTGTCTCTTCTCCTATGCTACTGTTTTTGTTGCTGCAGCTTCTGCAAAAGAGATCTCAGGTTCCTATATTTCCCTCTTTCCTCACGGTTTTATACATAGTCATTATCTAGTAGAAGCATTTGAAAAACTAACTTGTTTTACTTATACAAAGACAGCCAACGACAAAGAAAAGAACCAAGCTATAGAGGATTTGGAGATGGCAGTGAAGTGTGGACATCAACCTAAGTTCTTGGAGGGAGATAAAGAGCAAATCAATGGAGTTCTTCGTTTAGTCCATCTGAATTACAATACTTGTCTTGTTTAAGACCTTGTTTTAAATGGTGTTGAATACTAAACTATGTATCTTTTGATGATCTATGGAAAGAAACATGTTTTTAATAAATTGGTTTTGTAGCATATAATTAATTGGATTTCAAATATATATATTTTAATTGCATATGATGTATTAACGTATAAAAAGGTGCTATAAAAAAATTAAAGCATTTTAATAACGCTATGGTAGAAAGTACCTATAATAGCACGAAAAATGACTTAATACATAATTTTTTTTTTAAAAAAACGTCGTTATATCAAAGCGTTTGCCTAATGCTATGGTAGAATGCTCTATAATAACATACGGGAAACACGCTATCGTATGTAGGGGGTCTACCATAACAGGGGCATAAGACAGCGTTTATGAAAACGCTATTAATGACATATAATAGCTCTTATCTCTTGCTAATAATGTAGATATTTCTTGTAGTGATTTTTTGATATTCTTAAGAGGTTTTGGAAACTAAAAATGTTCAGCAAATCACCTAAATAGGTTTTAGAAAAGATACGGGAAGAGAAAGTTTATTCTTTGTGTGAGATTTCCGAAGATTCTCGTTTAGGATTTGGGAAGTATAAGTAGTCTAAGGAGGTTATATACCGTCGTCTAAGGAGGTTATATACCGTCGTTAACACTTAGAAGACTTGTGTGAGGTTTGTAAATTATTGAGTTTTTCCAACGACAAGTTGAAAAGGTGAGTGTTCGATAAGTTCTTGAAATATCACAGTTAGGTGTTATCGATTGATTCACGGTAGGGTGTTTATCTTAGTGAACTTGTGTTTGCGATCCTTATTTTGTTTCACGGTTGGGTGAATAGGATCAAGAAGGAGATTTGGACCCAATTAAAACGCGATATAGGCGCAGTTAAAAATCATTGTAAGCGCAATAAAAACACAATTTGGATGTGGTTAAGCGTAATCTATATATACATTTTTGGAACACTTTTAGCAAATAAATCCTGGAGTTGGGCAATATTTACAAAGAATGCTATTGGCATTTATTATTACTTTTACAAAATTTAAATAAAAGATATTAACCAAACAATATCTTGCCTAATTTGTTTCTAAAAATCTCTACACAATCTTTCCATATATCTTCAAAACAATTTATAGCAAATATTTATATTAACATTTTGCATAGCAATAAAAATACTAATTTATAATAATCAAAATATTCACATTGAAAAATCAAATACACATACAGAAAAAAGAATTATAACTATCATCATTTAAGCCGTTGCTTTATTTAAATAAATAAAAAAACACAAAAACTTGAAATCATCTACTTTATATGATAAATTTAAAATATATATTAGTAGTATAAATTGAAAATCGTTCAAAGAACGGTATACTACGGGTGAGATCCTAAAATTATTAGATTTTATAACAATAATAATTTATTTTCTTGGATTTTATAATACTAATAATTTAGCTAACGAAATAATATAGACGGGTTTATATGGGATGACGGGTTTGGATCGATATTAATAAATAACGGTATATCACGGATGAAATCCTAAAATTAACAATCAAAATACAATTATACAATCTTAAACACAAAACAAAAGAAACAATATTAACAAAATAAATCCAACTTAAATTTAAAATTTTTAGTTATAAAAAAAACCGACCCACAGTATACTGCAGAGTAAAATATTCAAAATTTTAAAATCCACCATACATCGTTACTTAAAAAAAATGTATGTTTTCGTATCTATACTTCAAAAATTGATATATAGATATCTACATTTAAAAATACAAATAATATGATATATCTTCAGTTAATCTTTTAAAAAATAACATTACATTTTTTAAAAAATATAGCCCCGCGGTATACCGCGGGTTAAATTATAGTTTAGGAACATTTTTGAATCGATTAATGCACGTTTTGAACGTAGAAACTACGGACACACCCAAAAAAGTGTCCAAACCGTGTCTTAACTACAATTCAACTGTGTCGTAAGCGCTTATAAGTCGCGATTCAAATAAAATCGTTTTGCAACGATTATCTCTGGATTAAAATCTTGGTTGTAGTCCAAAGAAAGAGTTTTACAAAAATAAAATAATCGATATAAATTTGATCATTGACCCAATAAAAGAAATCAATTTTGGACTATTGACCAAAAAAAGATAGAATTTTGGAAATACTTTTAAATTTAGATATTAAAAATTCTGTACAATAAAAATTAATTTTTGCAAACAATTTTATATGTTAATAAAATTCTGTATCGTTGACATATCGTAAAATAGTGATTCATTTATATATTAAATAAAATATAAATATTCAACCAAAACTATAATTATTTTAAGTTATATGAGGTACAACAACAAAAATATTCAAGATCATTATAATCAAACATGCATAAACCAATAATTTCATTTGGGAACTCAGGCGGTCCACATCGACTCCTACATTCGTAGCTGAATCGGCACCGACCTCTATAAACACACTCGTCAGGTCCGATTTGAATTCTTTTCAGTACTATTAATCACCAAAACAAATCAATAAAGATCATTAGTTTACTTTATTTTTCCCAAGAATTTTATTATAAAACATTGTCTACGAATTTGTAACTGCATATTTATTGGAAACATGTATAGCAAAAGTTTAAATTGAAAAATGTAATTTCTAAATAACTAAAAGGAAGAGAAGAATGTTACTAGTACATAACAACCAAAAAAAACGAGAGAAGAAAAATAAATAAAATATTCACCTTTTGATTGGCAAGTAAATAGGAGAGAATATGTGATGAGAAGGGTTGCAAGTTGAAATTTTGACAAAACCATTTAGTTTGATTTTTGTTGTTGTTGAAACAGGATATGCATATATATAAGTCAAGTTTAGTCAAGCTTCGAATATCCAAACTTGAGGTGATCAAAGGTTTCCATAAAAATAATTATTTGGTATAATTTACAAGGATACAATTCCCATTAACAAATAGATACGGTCAAATTTTCATCCACAATGAGTCAATGACTTTAATTTCATTTAAGTAAACAAAAACAATAAATAAGAAGTGGAAACGTATCTTTAGGAGGGGTGTAAAGGACTGTATTAAAGGAGTTTGATTTTTTTTCTTATTCAAATAAAAATTTTGAATGTCGTTCGTAATTCTATGTTACTGAACTTGGGAATTGCTTAAAATAATTTAGAATAATATTCAATTTCTTGCTATTTAATCAATGATTTATAATTTTTTTTTTTTTATCAAATCTCTTGTTTAGTTGAAAGATTTACCTTTCTTTTTAAATCGAAAATTGCAGAAATAATATTTTTATTGAGAACCATCGTTATGTTCTTTTATCTTATGTGCTTTACTCTTGAAAAAAACAATCGATATGTTTTTGTGATTTTCTTCTCTCTTTTCTACTCAAATGAAATTTTCAATCGTCCTCTCTGTTGTCTTAATGAGGACTCCTAACGGCTTTGGTATATGCACTTTGGTTCATTGAGAATCATCTAATTGAAGAGATTTCTCCAATGGCTACAGATCGATGGATGAAGTACAAACAAACAAGTAACAACATCAGAATCTAAAACCTTATACAAATAAGGGTTATCAATGATCGATCATATAGATAGATGGGAAAATCTGATATACCTAATGGCTACTCGTTAAATTAGGGACTTGAATGGGAGATAAAATGAAGGTGGATCGATGTGACCAAACTGATTTATATGCAAGAATCTATAATAAATTCCATGAGTAGCTAAAAGAATCCACCCAAGAATTAATCAAAACATAATCTCGAATTAATCCAATAAATTTCTCATAAAGAGAGCAAATTGGCTTCTCCGATTTTAGTCAAATCAAATTTGTACATACAATGGAGGTAATGCAACGACGACAATGCCAAATGTAAAATGGAAAGATGGATATAAACACAATCTCAATAAAATGAATGACTAGAGATATACTAATCAAAGAGGTCAATAAAGAATGATGTGATTATGGTAGTTCTTAAGTTCAATAAAGAAATTACTACTCAATCAATCATTAGTATAGTCTGATCATGATATGTGCAAACATGGCAACTTCAAAAATGATTTAGTATCAAAATGAACTTGTGATTAAGGACATGACTGCGAACCTCCGTAGAAGTCTATCTCGACTACATGCCGAAGTCGAGGCCCTTCTCTGGGCGATGAAGTGTATGATTGGTGCAGATAATCAAGAGGTAGCGTTCTTTACAGACTGTTCAGACCTGGTGAAGATGGTGTCTTCTCCAACCGAATGGCCGGCGTTTTCAGTGTATTTGGAGGAATTTCAGAGCGACAAGGAGGAGTTTTCATCTTTCTCTTTATCTTTAATTTCTCGTAGAGCTAATACTAAAGCGGATAATCTGGCACGAAAAGTTCCTACAGAACCGTTTCATATCACATATGTAAACAACATTCCTCATGAATGGTTCTTTTGAGCTCTAATTAATTTTGGATGACAAAAAAAAGATTAAGGACATGACTAACTTGATCCAATTGTGCAACTTTGGTTTTGAAGATCGCGTCACAAACGAAGGAGCTCAAGCATGTATGGATTCAAACTACTCTTTTGATTGATCTGTTTACGATGCATTCTGCTTTACAATGTCATTTAGATGGCTCATCGAAATAAAAATTGCCTTCTCAACATGCTGCTTGGAGTAGATTGTTAGGATATGTATATTTCCATCTCTACCCTTTGATGTATACCCTAGTACTCTTTGTAACTCTATATATTGATGTCTCTAATATGAGAGGAGACACAGCAATTCATTATCCAATATGGTATCAGAGCCTTTGCTCTTCTAAAAACACTCTTTTCGTCTCCTCTTTCTCTCTTCATCTCCCTCTTTTTCATCTTTTCGTCTCCCTTCTTCTTCATCCTTTTCTCTTCATCTTCCTTCTTCCTCAAAGCAATCCTCTTTCTTGTTATTCATCTCTAATTCTCTCTATTCTCAACGATGGCCCTTACTCCTCCCACCAATGACAAACCATTCTCTATAAGCCAAATCAAAGCTTACGTACCCATCACTCTTGACATGACCAAACTCAATTATGATACATGGAGAGAGCTTTTTGAAACACATTGTAGCAGTTTTGGTGTTCTTGGTCACATCGACGGCACCTCCTCCTCCACACCGGAAACTGAAAAGTCATGGAAGGAACACAACGATCTTGTCAAGATGTGGATCTACGGGACAATTACGGAGTCCATCCTCGAAACTGTTCTCAAACCAAAGTGCTCCGCTCATGACCTTTGGACTGCCATCGAAAGCTTTGAGTGGAATGACGAAGTCCTGAATATAAAGATCAAGTGTCTGGTCACAAGTGTCTGTTCTCAAACCAAACTGTCACCTCTCGCTACCGGAATGACGAAGTCCTGAATATAAAGATCAAGTGTCTGGTCACAAATTTCCCACAATTGACGCTTCGTGACATCGAACTCTCGCCACCACACTTTCTCTCCATCACCCGGTAACGTCATCTTACACATGAACGAACCGATATATATAGCAGCGGCTGCAATCTGACTAGGCCCGAACTGCAAGCAAAGCGACGTCCTTAGACTATCATTGATGAAATTAAATGCAGCTTGACATAACCGCCTAACATCCTCGGCCTTAACCGATCTTTTAACCCAATCCATCACTAGTTTATAAGGGTGTTCGATTTCGAGATCAAATCCTAACGTAGAGAGCACAAGCTTCTCTCCGGTTAACACAGTCTTCTTCAATCCCTCGAACACATCTCTCAACGGCTCTTTATTGTGTAAAACTCGGTAAGAGACAACGATGACGTCACCGGCCGGCTTTGGAGACCCTTCGACTTTTCCAGCGATAAACATACAGATGATGGCTACTGTTTTTGGGTCGTTCTTTGCAAGTGATTGACGAGTGAAGAATCGTTGACACAAGACAATCGATGTGGCTATAGATTTCTGAGGATTGTTTAGTCTCTGGCCAAGCTCTTGAAGGAATGAAGTGTAAGACCAACGTTGGAAAGTCTCTTCTTTAAAGTTGATACCGTCAAGTCTCGATGGAGAGATTTTTTCAATCTCTTCTCTTGTGTAATACCACTTTGTTTCTGCCATTGTTGAACAAACCCAAAATCTCTAAATCGATTTTATATTCAAAAAGATAGAGAATCGAGGAAGATTTAATCAAACCTCTAACCCTAAAAAGTTGTTTTTTTTTGGTAATCCCCTAAAAAGTTGTTTGATTTTTAAGAGAAGATTGTATTTTATTTTTACTTCATCTATTTGGGTTTTTTACTTTTTTTTTTGTTTATTTTCTTCTTATTTTGCAACCTTTTTTTTTTTTCCTTTTTCGTCCACAATATGGATTCACAAATTGCCATATGCCACATCTAATTGACTGTAATGGTATTGGTCAAACCATAAATTATGATTCTATTTTTCTAAAAAATAATTGTTTTCAACGAAAAAATGATTTGCACGTCATTTAATTTATGTTAGGTTATTTTTTTCTTATAAATAAATTTAAGTTTTCACTTTTCCAAGATATACCATTACCAACATAATGATAAAACACATATACATAACATTTTTTTTTTTTTCGTCGAAAATAAAATTATATTAATGAATAAGAAAAATCATCATACAATTGTTGAGATAACCACCTTGGTGGATTACAAGTTTCAGAGAAAAAACATCGAACAGAAACACCATGTTTTGCCAACAAATGAGCCGCATTATTACAAGAACGTTTAGCAAATACAAACTGTAAAGAATGAAATTTAGCTGCCCATAACAAAATGTCTTGATAGATACCATCGATTGTGATATCATACGATTCTCCGTTAATCATCTTTGTGAGGTTCTGACAATCGCCTTCAAAAATAACCGAAGTATGACCATGAATCCATACTTGTTGCATTGCGGCCAGTAAACTCTTAGCTTCTGCTTCAAGGGGCGTGATGGCATTTGGTAGACGGGACGCACCCCAAAAATTTGCATTGCCTCTATCATCTCTCAAAATCCACCCACCCGTAACTTGGTGTGTTAATGGATCAAATCCGGCATCATAATTACATTTGAGAAAAGGTGCTGGGGGTCTCCTCCAATGTTGCTCAATTTGGTCGAAAGCTAACGCTTGATCATAAGGTTCTCTAGACTGAAGATTATCAACCCATTCATGCACTTCTGCTCTCGCTTGTAGGACGACCATAGAGGGGCTCATTCAGATCATGTTGAAGATGTACTTATTCCTTGCTTTCCATATGTGCCATAGGAGCCAGAGTGGTAAAAGTTTCTGTTCTGTTTCCAAACCCTGCAGTTTTTGTAATTCCAATACCTTTAAGAGATTACTTTCATAGTTTGCGGAAGGAGATTGTAGTGAGTGTAAAGGAACATTGGATAATCTCCATATCATAGTTGCAAAAGGACATGTGAAAAGGACGTGGTTGATGGTCTCATTTGCCACACAGCAGCGCGGACACTTTGGATCCAACTTCATGCCGCGGGTGTTCAGACGTGTTGTTGTGGCTAAAGCCTTTGTGGTTGCCCTCCAAAGGAAATGTTTGATTTTTGGTATTGTTGATAATTTCCAAATGGAGTTCTTCATTGTTAGGGAACCGAAAGGTACTTCTGGACGAGCAGCCAGGTATTGATGTTCATGAGTAGTTAGCCAATAACCCGAGCGGACCGTGTATTCCCCTGTTTTATTATAATGCCAGACTAATTTATCTGATTGTATACATTGTGGAAGGTGAAATTGTTCAAATATGTTACGGTCCTCTAGAAAGACTTTGTCTCTAATTGCATTCTTGTTCCAAAACCTGTATGAACCTGTATTAGAGATTAATTCTTTGATGGTAATGTCGGAGCTGCCATTAATGCTTCGGATTGGTCGAGGTGGGTGAGTCGGGACAACGTTATCACCATCCAAACGAGCAAGTTCACCATCGCCTATGATCAACCTTGAACCTTTTTTGATAACTTCCAGTCCAGCTAACACGGAGGCCCACCCATAAGACTGTTTTACACGTTGTTTTGCATCCAAAATATTATCATCGCGGAAGTAACGAGCTTTCATAAGCCGAGCGAGTAAACAGTTTGGATTTCTAATGATTCGCCAGGCTTGTTTAGCTAGTAGGGCATCATTGAATTTAGAAAGGTCTTTAAAACCTAAACCTCCCTCTTTCTTGGAGAACTGTAACCGTTTCCACGCTATCCATGGGATGCCTTTGTTTTGATCACCCTTTTCCCACCAAAATCGCATGAGCCGAGCTTCGATTTCGGAGACTACTCCCAATGGTAGTTTAAAACAAGACATTGTGTAGACCGGCATTGAAAGGGCTACCGATTTTATCATGATCTCTTTTCCGGCTGGTGATAGGTATCGTGCACTCCAAGTTGATGTTCTCTGCTTCACTTTATCGATAATATACGCAAACATTTCTTTCTTTTTCTTGCCAAACTGTTCAGGTAGGCCTAAATATTTCCCATTACCTCCATGATTTGGAATTTCCAGAATGTGTTTTAGGCGATTTTGAAGGTTGCCGTTAACTCTGGATCCAAAAGTGATAAGGGATTTATTTGTATTTATTTTCTGGCCTGAATAGTATTCATAAACTTCGAAAGCTTCTTTCAAAGCGCGGCAATTTCGGCTATTTGCTTGGCAGAAAAAGAGTGAATCGTCTGCAAATTGGAGATGAGTAATGGCAGGAACACCATTCCCTATTCTCACACCACGAATTTCCCCAGATTTTGCTTTTGTTGTGATGAGGTGGTTCATAATATCTGCACATAGAATGAATAGATACGGGGAAAGAGGGTCGCCTTGTCTAATACCCCGCTCCGGTGTGACCAGCCCGTGAGGTGAACCGTTCACAAGAACCGAATACGTTACAGAACGAACTGTAGCCATGATCCATTCAATCCATTGATTCGAAAACCCAAACAGTTTCATTGTGGTCTCCAAAAAACCCCATTCTACTCTATCGTAAGCTTTTGTAACATCCGTTTTAACAGCCATATAGTTTTGGGAGACTCTCTTACGAGTTTTTAAGGAGTGCATCACCTCGTGGGCAATGAGAATGTTGTCTGTTATGAGTCTCCCAGGAATAAAGGCTGCTTGTGAATCCGAAATAATATTTCCCAAGTGATGTTTAAGGCGGTTAACAAGGCACTTTGAGATAATTTTATAAAGGACATTACACAAAGCTATAGGTCTATAGTCACTCAGGGTTTTTGCATTAGTATGTTTGGGTATCATACAGATATTTGTATGATTGATACTTGGTTTCATGTAGGAGGTTAAAAAGAAATCGCGCACCTCTTTGATAACGTCCTCACCAATGATATTCCAATATGATTTGTAGAAACGTGCTGTTAAACCATCGGGGCCGGGGGCTTTGTCATCACCGATAGAGCAAACAGCATCATATATTTCTTTATCTTCAAAATCCCGAGTCAGCTCGTCATTGATATCATGTGTGACCGTGGGAGTGAAATCCCCAAAATCTATAGGCGAGACTGGGATTTTACTCGATGTATAAACTTTCTTGAAGTAAGCTTGAGCATGCTCTCCGACTTCTCTGTCTCCACGGTGTATGTTATGATGTTCGTCTTGAATTGAGGTGATGTAGTTTTTGGAATACCTTGTTTTTGTACATGCATGAAAATAGGCAGTGTTGCGGTCACCATCCTTTAGCCACTGTTTGCGGCTTTTTGTACGCCAATATGTTTCTTCATCTCGATATGCTTTTGCCAGCTCTCTTTGAAGGTAAGGTATGCAACGTCTCTCACTGCTAATTGTGCTTTCCATAGCAGAATTTAATCTGGTTTGAAAATGATCAATGCGTTTTGCCGCATTCATATTCGTCCTATGTTTGCCTTTCGACATTGCTTGTCTGCAATTCCTAATTTGGTCACAAATGGAGTATCTTCCTTGAAGCTTACAAGAGTGCCATCCTTCCGCAACAATGGTATCAAACTCCGGGATTTGTTGTAGACGTTTGTCAAACCTAAAGGGTTTATGAGTGGCGTTGGTATTGAGGTTAAAGGAAGTTAGGACTGGTTTGTGATCGGAGCCATTAAATTCCATAAACTCTGCTTCAGCATTAGGATAAGTGCCAGCCCATTCTGAATTTACCATAACACGATCAAGACAACATTTGACAGTGTGATTATGTCTCTCTCCAACCCAGGAGAACCGGTCTCCTTTGGACCTAAGATCTATCAAATCACAAGTGGAGATCATGTTTCTAAAATCTCTGAAAGTCCATTCTTCTCGTCTTGGCCCTCCTATTTTTTCTGAGTTTGAAATGATTTCATTAAAATCCCCTATAAGCATCCACGCATTGTCTCTTACTAGACCAATTCTCTCCAAACGTTCCCAAAATAAATGACGTAGGCCTTGAACAGGGTGTCCGTAAACACCTGATAAATAAAAGCCATTATCATTATATTTGACAAATACATCAATCATACGTTCATCCTGATACACTTTAGATAGAGATACATTATTCATCCACATCATAGCTAGACCACCACTCCGACCATGAGGGGGTTCTGTAATTACATTACTAAATCCTAGAACACACGAGAAATCACGTACAATATTACACATATTTAAAGTTTCACACAGAAATAAAATGTCAGGGTTTACTATACGACACAGCCGCTTCAATCTTTCTTGAGTTAGCGGCGAACAAATTCCCTGACAGTTCCAGGATACGATCCTCATGGTGGTTGTGGGGGTACCGGGCCCCCCGCGCCTCTGTCCATTTTGATACCAGAAGACGAGCCCTGAGACTCTGCCTTCTCCTTTTTACGAATCTGACTCAGGACCGTCAGATCTTCCTCTTCTTCGCGCTGCTGGTAGTAGACTTCCCACTCACTCCTTTTACGTTTGTTGAAGCAGAAACCATTGTTGTCAGCCTCCGCGAAAGAAGACACTGTGTTTGGTATACCAACCTGATCCTTCCCTTTTGCAAACTTGTTGTACAGGTAGTGGAGTCTCTCGGCTGTGAGTTCCACATCTTCAAAAGCACTTGGCAAGGACGATTCACTGGATTCAGTGATGATGAATTCTGTGTGAGCCTTTGATTTCCCCAGGCCTGGAATCTCTACAGCAGTTGCAATGGTTGGCAAAGTGACTGCGGGGTCGAAAACATTCACTTGTGGTGGTTGATGGTCTGCATGATCATTATCATCATCACTGTCATCCGTTGGAGGGTCTTCAAATTCCAGGGAACACTCCTTTGCATCATGCTTCAGGGAACCACATCTTGTGCAGAAATTGCGAAGTCGTTCAAATCGAAACTTCAGGATTGTGTTTTCATCCACAGCAAATTGGAAATTCCTTTGAAAACGCAGCGGCATATCAAAATTCCAATTCACACAAACTCTTGCAAACTCCGTAGTGGCTGCTGCATTCTCATCATAATCAACATTTGCGACTTGTCCCAGTTGGGTTCCAATGTATCTTACCATCGCTTCAGATAGATAGAGAATTGGAATTCCCCTAATTTGAATCCAGAAAGGAATGATCTTCATCTCCTCTTCGGTGATGTTTGGATACCAACGGTAGACCGAGATCATCCAATCATTGAACGCCCATGGTCCCCGACGAAGGACGAGATTCAGTGACTCCTCAGTCTGGAAAATGAAAAGAACTTTTCCATTTCCCAGAATTCTTCCGCGGCACGAATCGGCGAAGCCCCAAATCCTTGGCATCTGGTTAGCAATTGCTCGCAGGTTTTGCTTCCTGGGGTTCACGACAGTGACAATCAGACTGAAACGATTGATTGTGGCGGCCCTCCCACACAATTCAGACGGAAGTGAAATTGGGGTATCATTGATTCCCAAATTCAGATCTTGAAGCGATTTCCGGACATTATCACTCATGATTCGAAAGCTTTTCAGTAAACAGATTCTTAGATAGGACACAGAGATTGAAGAGAGAAGGGCTTGAAGGATTCCGACAGATATATAGGTGTATATCCATGGCGGTTTTCGATTACAGTTATCCTTCGAAATCGAAGGAAAGGTAAAACTGTCAACCGTAAACCGTGACAGAATCAAACCGTCGAAATTAACCACCCAAAAAACGATGGTTTCCGTCGGAATTACACTCCAGAATGGAGAAATCAGAAGAAGAAAAAGGGGGAAATGAAGATCGCCCCAGAAGTCGTCCTCAGAGAGAAAAGGCATTTTGTTTTGCCTTTCACCCGTTTACACATATACATAACATTATTCATAAAGATCAAAACTATTTGCAACCATGACTCTTTTTATGAGTCTAGATGTTGGAGAGGGGAACATGGAAAAATTTTTATTGTCAAAACACTAAAACCGGCACAAAGAGAAGAATCAAACTTAAAGGTTGGTATAGTGTTGCTAAGCAACTCTAAAGATCCAAAAGCACTCAAGTAAAAACAAATAAACAATTAAAGATAAACAATTAAAAGCACTCAACTCTAAAGATTAAAGATCAAACGTTAAAACGTTTTAGAAGGAGAAGAAGAAGACATTTGGGGCTGGAGATGAAGATGATGAATTTCTTTAGAGAAGTCCAAGCATTAAAATTTGGGTTTTCTGAACGAAAAAAAATCCTTCGAATCGTTAATTCTTGCAATCGTTAATATGCAATAGAACCCTTATACGTATATTGTAAACGTTTCCACGGTCACATACATTAGATTTTAAATTTTTTTAAGTAAAGTTGAACTCCTCGTCACGAGGACTTTAATGTGACATATTATTTATCAAAATTTTACAAATTTGAAGGTAGCAAAAAATTGTTATATTGCGTATTATTTTTTACTTCATAGGATTAATCTACATTTTCTGCAGATGAAGGATAAAATTTGCAAAAATTTGCAAGGCGCAAGTTTTTTTTTGCATAAAACCCTAAATTACTTTAGAGCAAAACAGCCAAAATATATTAAAAAAAAAATTAAAACTTTCGGGATTGTATATGAAATTCTAAAATGCATACCACTCGACTGTGTAGACAAATCCTTTTGAAGCGATTTGCTCGTACGGGGCAGGACCCATACTAAGAGAGGGGAAAAGTGGTCATATTGGATCCTTGGGAACCATCACAAGTACGGCCGGCCTATATTTGAACATTCATGAGGTAATCAGCATGACATATTTGATCCAAACGACGCAAACGATTGTTCGCTATCTTGGAGAGATTCAAACTGAGGGTTAAGAGCACCTCCAATTGGAGATTCTCTTAAAAATTTTGATAAGTTCTCTGGTTTAGTTGGCAAAAAAATAAATCAAAACTGATATGAAGGCAGAGAATCGGCAGAGAATCGACTCTCTGCAGAGAGCTTTGAGCAATTAAGAGAACCGTACACGTGGCACACTCTGATTGGAGCATCTATTTTAACAAAAGAAAAAAAATCTTGGTATCTTCTCTCTTTGTAAACGACTACTTTTTCTCTCTCTGGCGATGGCGATCAAACCGCCGATTTCTCCGATTCCAATGAGTGGGAGTAAAATTACGTGTGTAATCGTGGTATCTGAGAATTCGTGACGCCGGAGTCATCATCTTTTCAATCAATTTCTTCTCTTTTCTCTGCATCAATTTTTAGGGTTCATCAGAGAAAGAGAAAAAGATTCAGAGATCCATTGTACCAAGCCCACGTTGATTTACAGGTTATCTCGAACAGAATTCGTTGGTTGATTTGACTCTCTGTTTTGCAATTCCTCTGACTTCTGGATTCTTGCTCTCGTTTTCGTTTGATCTTTAGCAATTGTAGCATTGTTTATGTTATTTTTATGAATTATAAACTTTGAATCAAGAACAAAGCTTATGAGATTCTAGTGTTGTGTGTGATAGTTTCGAATTGTTGAAATTCACCTTTATTTGTTTTCAAGAGAATGGTTTAATTGAGGTCATAGAAACTCTAGTGATTCATGTGGTTTCTTCTTCATGATCGTGCTTTGTGAGATTTGACAGAAGCTAGATTTATCTATTATGGTTATGCATTGACTTTGCTCTCCATATGGGTGAATTTGATTTAGATTTCCAAATACTAATTCTATGGTTTGTCAAGCGATTTTCGTCTTTATCAAATACACGTAGAATGGATGCTTATGGTTTGTGGGATTTGGTTAAGGAGATTGGTGAGAAGGAGAATAGTAGTGTTTTGAACTTGGAGATATTGAAAGAATTGATTGCTTTGTGTGGGATTGGATATGCTATGTATGCGTTAAGAGTGTTGTATTACCAGAGTGAGAGCAGATGGGTAAAAACACAACTTTCTGGTTGTAATGTTTTATGGAAATTACTGAGCTACATTTGTTTGTTATATAGATATGTTAAGCTAGCTGATTTGTCAAAGGAGAAGAGATTGTTTTTTGTTAGAGCGTGGGAAGTGTTTGTGATTTGGTTTTAATGCATGAGCGACTAGAGAAGAAGAAAGCAGAGTATGCAGAGAGGATGAAGAAAAAAGTTGCAGCGATTCACAAGGAAGCTGAACAGAGAAGACATTGATGACTGAGGACTTGGTGACTGAAGACAATGATGACTGAAAACTTTGTATATGCTATGATCAAATTTGTAGAGTTTAGTCATAGAGGAAAGCAATTGTGAAGCAGATTTGTTATAGAGGAAACCAATTGTAAACTTTGTATATGTCTTTTCTGAACTACGATTCCGATTGTGAAACGTATCAAAACACATAAACCAAAATCATATTTTTGTTTTCTCCACAAAACCAAAATCATATCCAAAACACATAAAATTTTATGAGAACTTCACTTGAGAGACTACCATTGGACTATCAAAAATTTTAAATTTTTTACACAAACTCACATCTTACAAATTTCCATAATTTATACTAAACAATGGGAGAGAGCCCATGGAGGGTTCAACGTTGTAAAAAAGGTCATCAAAAAGACTCTCTCTCTCTCTCTCATTTCGCCCTAACCTAGCCGCCGCTGTACGTGCTCTCCGCCTGAGACCGGTTGCTGGTGGCTTCCACAGCACTGGTGCTGGTCTCCCCATGTAGTAGTTGCTTTTCTTTTTTTGTTTCTACTGTTTTCTGCGATGTGGTGAAGATCTTGCCTTGCTTCGTCTGGATCTGGGTGGCGGTTATGGCTTGTCTTTGGCCGGAGTTGGAGGACGAAGTTGGCTTCCTGAAATCATCTTCTCCTTCGACTTTCTTCTTCCTCCCCGGATCTATTCAGGCTCGCTAGGTGAAATGGTATCTCCTCCCATCTAGTTTTTTATTTCTTCGCGGCAACATCTCCTGCTTCGATCAGGCCTTTCTCTTCAACTTATTTCGGAGTAGGTGAGTCTCTCCGACCCTGTTGTGGAGTTGAATGTTCTCCGACTGGTTTTTGCGGTTCTCCGATCTGTGATTTTCGTCTCTGTTCTTGTCAGATTGGGATTCGATTTTGGTTTGTCGAGTTTTCCGGCTGCGTCCATTGGATCTGCGGCAACGGCCTTCGTCTTCATTTATCCTCACAGGTCGTCCCTTAATTTACCTTCGGTTAATTGCTTTGGTTGTTGGAGTGTGTTTGGGTGCGTTTGGTTGAGGGTAGAAGCCTTAATTTCAAGTTTAGGGCTGGGAATATTGACTCCTAATTCTGCCTCCTGTTACTTTCTGCCCGGTTATTGGTGTTATGAGTTTGTGATGGTTTCGTTTTGTGGGTTCTTCTTTCGGATGGTAGTCTCCTGCAAAGGCATCTACAAGCTCTCTTCCTTATCCTTGTTTGGATTTAAGATTTGAGTTCAAGACGATGTGGTAGGCTCGGTCTCCATTCCTTCTCTTGAGTGGCATAACCAGTTCTTAGGCTGTAGATGGTTTTGGCTGGGTCTACGAATATCCGCGTGTAAGGTTTGTTGGTCCTCTTTGGCGTTTTCCCCTTCGGATCTCAAGGCTTCTCCTTGTCCCTTCATCTGCTTGTCTTCTCTGGTTTCTGATGTGGTAGTGATGGTTAGGATCTGTGCTCTGATCCTCTTATATTTGTCTGTGCTCGTTCCTGCTGGGGTTGTGGTTGTGTGAGCTTGGTTTAGTATCCTTCTCGGGCCTTTCATTTAAAGGTAATCTAATGATGGGTCCTCTTGTTGCTCCTGTTTGTAACCACTTTCCAGCGCCCAAATTATTCTATGGAAATGTTCGTCGGATGCTTTTAGTGAAGAGTTTGCAGTTGTTTACTTGAGTCTTAGATATTAGCCATTCCCTGTACTTTAAGATTTTCCTTCTTTTATGTCTGCCTTTTTTGGCCTTTGTCTCTGGGGGTTTCTATGTACCCGCCGGCTTTGTTTTCGGAAGGATTTCTTTCCTTGCCGCTATGTATTAACTCCAAGTATCTTATCAATGGGAAAAATAATGGGAAAAATAATGGGAAAATTCCCTACAAAAGCCCCACTTATTTAATATTTGCTAGAAAACTACCTAAACTTTTTTCGTTGCTAGAACAATACACAAACTAATTTGGGTTGGAAATAAAAAACACTAACTAATTTTTTTTTTCCGATTTCCTTCCTTCGCCGTAACGGCCGTTAACAGCGTTATCCAAATCGTCAAACGTTGTTAATTTTATTTACCGAAAAATTCCTAAAAAACTATCCGACTTATTTAATATTTGCCAAAAAATACATGAACTTTGTTGTTGTCATAAAAATACACAGACTAATTTAACTTGGAAATAAAAAACACGATCTGTTTTTTTTTTTAAGGATTTCTCCAACCAAATCGTCAAATGCTTTTAGTTTTGTTTAAGGAAAATTCCTAAAAAAACTTGACTTATTATAGAAATCCTCTAAGACCTTCAGTTCTTCAGTAATATCAACTAAAATCATGTTATTAATGTGTAACTTTTTCTAAATTGCTAATGCTTTTTTCAACAATCTATCATATGTGAACAACAGTAAATTAAAGAAATTTTATCCACTTTGTTAGCCGAAGATTCTTCTTAATTTCTTCAATTTATTGTTGTTCGCATCAGATATAGATAGATGTTGTATGTTAAAACTAGGATTTAATATAGTATTATATCGATTTTGATATTATAAGGGGATAACATCGGTTTTTTAGCCATTTTTATTTATCATGTGCAAAGAAAATGAGAAAAATAACGGTATTTACTATTTGGTTAACATGTTGATAACTGTGGATGTCAGATTCACACACTCAAGTATTTTTATTAGTAGGAAAGATTATTCTTGAGGGACAAAAAATAAGAACGTAAAAGGCTTATGAATTGCTACCAAAATTGCTATCGTATTTCTTGCTCCAGAGAGAGATCCCTTTACATGGCCATTGGCCATTATATTTATACATAGAGAAACGACATTAAAATGAGTAATTAAGTACAATTATTCCTTCTTAAATGTGTCCGTTTTGATTCCTTGACTTTAATGCTCAACGTTTGAATTTGAGTTGACTCTGATCTTCGTGGGCCTCGCCTTTTCGGCCCAAGTTTCCTTGAACCGACTTACCCGTGTCTTCTACACCGAACTCATGTCATAGTGCAGTCACTTCGGATTCTCGAAGTGGTGACAACCACTTCGACCGTTCCTTCGGCTCATGGGTCCAATGGGCTTCATCCTTTATGGGCCATTATCTTGACTACGTGGCAATCTTTGGTTGGTCTTGGACTTCTGGTGCGGGATCCGACACCAACAGTTAGCCCCCCAAGTTCTTCGAAGTACTATTCCAATTCGGAGGACTTTTAAATGCTTTAATGACCAAAGATTGCGTTCCGAGGAATCTTCTGATTTTTCCCGCCAAGATCCCATCAGACCTTTAATTTCGGCGCTACCCATATTTAGTCGCGTGACATCTGTCGCCATTATGACCGTATATCGATTATTTACTATTAAAACGGGAAAAAACCTTCCCACTTCCCACACAACTTCCGAGGCGGTTTCATGATTAGCCTGTGTGAGGTAACTTCTTTTCACCATTACTTTCTTCTTTTACTTTTGTGCTTTAATCAAAACTTCTCTCTACTTTTCTTCACTGAACCTCTCTTCGCCGGATCTTGAATTTTTCATTTTTCTCCGATGACTTCCGATTCTGAAAGACCTGAATCTCCGTCTTATGATGAGAGGCGTTCTAGTAATGACGAATGCACTCGTCCTAACGATATCGCCGGTCCTCATTACAAATCCACCTGTACTCTTCAATCCCTTGAGCGATTAAAGGGGCTTTGTCAAATTCCTCCTGGAATTATAGCGGAGGCGCAAATAGCCGATCCTACGGAATCCCCGGAGAACCACCGTGACGGCTACTTTTATGTTTACGAAATTTACTTCAAGGGCTGCGGATTGACCTTCCCCCTTCCCGAAGCCCTAGTTCGATTCTTGGCGGCTCTCGAGATTGCTTTACCTCAATTAACCCCCAATCTCCTCCGAACCATCCTCGGGATTATAAGCGTTGCGGCGGAGGCTGGCTACGTCATTGGAGTCCCCGAGCTGAATGAACTCCTAAGCGTAAGGAGTTCATCAAGAAAACTGGGTACTTCTCGGCGTATCCAAATGCCAACAGGAACGTCATTTTGCACCTCCCGAACAAGGATGAAAACTGGCACCATCCTTGGTTCCTGATTAAGAAAACTCCTGCTTCGATTGGGAATCTTTCTGATGTACTCCCATCGAAGTGGTCTACGAAGCCTGGTAGAGACTAGGTCGTATATTCCTTTCCTGTTTATTTTATTATTTTTTACTGACCAAATTAGTTGTTTCACTTCGCAGCTCTTATCGCTTCAACTCTCCCGACTAAAGAATTTGTCAAGTTCTTCAGAACAATCCTCGAAGGGGAAACCCTTTGGAATTCTTTCACCCTCGATCGGTTTATCGAGGCCAACCGAAAACTCAGGATGAGTCCTCCCAATCTACTTCATCGTCTTCCGCCTCCTCCCTCAACTCAGGGCATGTCAGCTCGGGCCCTTACTGCCCTGCGTAAGAAACTTTCCAAGCCGATAGCAGAGGCTTGTGATGAAAACAAGGCGTTCCTCGCGGCCGCCATTGATAAAAAAGATTACAGCGGGACCCTGCTGGTTGATGATAACAGCTCCGAGGGAGCCAGATCCGTTGCTGCTTATAGGCTAACACCTCGTCGCGAACGTCATGACAAACGTTCTCCTCGGAGAGAGCGGTCTCCTCGTCGTGATTCTCCTTGTCCTCCCCGAGACGATTTCAGCAACAAACCACTTAAGAATTTGGTTCGTAGGAAGAGGGACAAGTCGTCCCGTGGTGACTCGTCTCCGCGAAGGGAGAAATCAAGGGCCCGGACTGATCGTTCACCTCGATCATCCCCTCCCACTGAACCAATGGGTCCTCCCCGACCTGTTGACATGTCTTCTTCTTCTCAGCCCGACAGCAAAAAGACTGCTCGGAGTGCATCTCCTAAAAAGGGAGATTCTGAATCTCGAGATGCTTCCTCGAGGTTAAAGCCCGTTCTTGTCCCTCAAGTCAAATCGCTTTCAGGTTTGGTGATTTACACATACTCTAACGTTTTAGTTTCTATTAAGATTCCAATTTTTACAATTCTTCCTTCTTCTCAGCTATGGAGAAAGAAGGCAGCGTCTTCCGATGCTTCAAGACCCGATCGGGTTCGATCTTGCCAGACTTCGACAAGTGGCGCCCTGCGATTCGTGAACGCTATTTGCTTCACGCGCATCACTCATCTCGGGTTAGTTTCGCTTTAATTTTCCGATTGTGCTGCCGTTCATCGAAATGCCTCATCATCTCAATTTTATGCATAATGGCAGGCTAACGGTGAGCTTAACGACATGGTTGAACATTATGAGGGGCTGGTCCTTGGTCAGGAAAAGGAGATTGACGCGTGGAAGAAAAAACTTTCTGCTCTTGAGGCTGAACTAAGCTCTTCTACCAGCTCCAAGCACGACCTGGAGGACAAAGTCGACAGTCTAACATCCGAGCTGGCGAAGATTAAGGGGGAGCTGCAGGATCAGTACGACCAAAATTTCAAACTCCAGGATGAGCTTTCTGGTGTTCAGGGTAGGCTTCACGAATCCGAATCAACCGCCGATATCCTGAATAACCAACTCATTGAGCTTAACGCGAAGTACAAGGCGATTGCCAAATTGCGTGATTCCGAGTTGGCAAGGTAGGCATCGAAAGCCAGAAAGGAAGTTAAGGGATGCGGGATGGAGTTGATCCAAGGGGCCATCCGCTTCATGCAGACCGAGAAGGCTAGGTCAGATTTGGAATCAGACATCAAGGAGCACGAGAGCAACCTGATTCTGTTGGATCAAATCCATGATACGGATTTCTCCGAGGAGCAAGAAAGGACCGAACTGTCGGCCAATCTTTCTGAAAAGCGGAGTCGCTTGGCAGCTCTTCCCACTTCGACCTTCAACCCGCAGAATTTCGAGGAATTCTTCACTGAATCGCCTCCTATAAGTGATTCGGGTCTAGACTGGGCAGGTAATGCTTGGCTCTTGACACTTACTACCTTTTCCTCACCTTATGTTTTTTTTTTTTAAAAAAGTTGACTGGAACGGTCCTTCCCAGGTTCAAGTGAGGCAGAGGATGTCGTCCCACCCGAGGTACCTGCGGCACCGGCGGTCACTCCGGAGGATGGTTGTAATGTAGAGGGCGGACCAAGAGCTCCATCCGACCAAGCACCAGTCAAGGAGGTGAATGAAACTTCGGTTGCTGAGCCGGAGTCCGAGGTGGATATCATTCCGTAGTGGCTGCGTCCACTTTAAATTGGGGATTGTCCCATTTAGTTTAAACTTAATTTCGAACTTATTTTTGGCCTAAGGAGGCTTTATTATTTCTTTTGAACAAGATACTTGCCTGAGGAGGCTTTTAAACCTTTCTAGGTTATGACCCAAGGGGGTTTGGTTAAAATTATATGCGGGTTTGCAAAGTCCGCTTTTAACCTTTTGTGGCCTTGTGGTTATGCTTTTGAGATTTTTAGGCTGATCAGACCTTTCTCTTAAGAATGCGAGAACTGAGCTCGGCTTAAAGCGAGTTCCCCACTTCGGGTTTAGTCAACTCGATAAATTTATTGGGCTTGGGCCTTAGAAACTTTTGTAGTTAATGCGACGGTTGCTCTTTCCCTTCTTATAAGTAAGGAAAACGGCTCATCTTTAATGCAATAACTGTCTTTTCTCGATTTTCCAAAAATGGTTTAAACCACTCGGACACACTACCATTATTGGATTTATGGTTCCAAGACAAACCCTAAATCATTATAAATAAAGGCTTACCTACTTCTAAGCTTTATTTAAACACGATTTTAGAATCTTACTTGAGAAATATTTCAAGAATGGAAAACGAAAAAGTAGCCTCCGTTGATCCCGGCAGCCCACTTTTTTTGTCCGGCGATGGCTTTGAACCG